ATTAACTAATTAATGACTTCACTAATTACCTCCGGTTCAGAAGGACCAACGGGCAAATTAAATGTGGAAAATTGCATTTATCTGAATGTAACTTTAAATTATTACATAACAGTAAATGATAACAAAGATAATTATTATTTATCAATGTTACAAAGACAAGTAGGAAAACGGGACACCTAGGTCGCAAAAAATGTCCCCCTTCGATACCTACCACTGTCATAACCACAAGTTGCTCTGGATCTATTTTAATTTAAATGAAATATAATACACCAGGAATACTGGTAAATATATAAATTTGTGGACTGTATTTAAAAAAAAATAAATGGTTATATATATACACAATTACATAACAGAAGGAAAAAAGTATCTTAATATCACTCACCAATTTGACTGGATATTAAGTGTATAAATACTCAGGAAAAACCTCACTAACTAAATTTATGAAAACACTGCCAGAATTATACACAAATCTAGAGAGCTTATCCGAGGTTCCTGGAGCTGTCTTGTCCAGTCGTCTGATATCTCAAGTTATGCAGGAATGCATGTCCAACAATTTCGCCTCCTATTTGAGAGGTGTCAGCCCAATTTTAACCTCTAGAGCACGAAAATTCCTTCCCATTACACTAACATTGTATCCAATTCAAAACCAAGATGGCGAGTCTCGTCTGCGCAGACGCAGGCTTTCCGTTTTCTTTGACATAAATATTATTAAATACAGTATGGCCATCTATTTACATATAAATACTGAATTTCTGGAAAATATATACAGTATTTTCCACAGTAAGAATGCTGAATAAAATCGATAATAAAATTCACCTATGTTTTGATGAAAAAAAAAGTTTGCATTCTCGATTGTACAAGATGTTTATGTGACTTTTAAGGTACTAATTAAGGGCAAGTTTTGCCCTTTAGTCTTCTTCAACCCCGTACAGAGAACGGGAGACAGACGATATATGTAGTGACAGAGGTAAGTTTTTTTTTTTCGTCCGATTTCTTTCATTTCTGGTATACTTTAATAAAGAAGTGTACATTGTCTTTATAATGCGTAAGTTTCAATATGATAGTTCAAAAAACGACTGAAAAAATTGACTGAAAATGACGTTTGGCAGTTAAGTCCTACATAAAGGCACTACAAAAAGTTGTTTAGGGATTTGTTACTGATAAAACAATGCTAATTAATTATTCTCAGGGCAAAACATCTGCTCTTTATCTCCACAAAAATCCCAAAATATTTCGAATATTTAAGAAATCCCACCCATTGTTTTATGATCGCTGTGAAAATAATTTTAATTAATTCAGTTTTAAATGGTTAACTTTCATGAAATAAGTCAATAACTTACTTCAGAGATATTCAGCGAAAATACAGGCATAGCTCATCACTCACCTCTGCAAGCCCACCTCCTACTCCACCCTTCCAACCTCTTCAATTTTTCCAGCCCTCCCCTCCCTCTTCCTTCCCATCCTCACCAACCCTCAGGTCAGAGAACTTCAACTTCAACTTCATCACTCGTGAAAAACACAGGCATAGCTCATCACTTGTGGAAAACACAGGCATAGCTCATCACTCGTGGAAAACACAGGCATAGCTCATCACTCGTGGAAAACACAGGCATAGCTCATCACTCGTGAGTTTTTCAAACACTCCATTTTCTGTTATGTTAGAATCCTCAAAGGAATAAGAGAGAATGATATGGTCAGAGCAGTCACATTATCCCTCCAGCCAGACCGCAACCAGACTAAGTAAGTTTATTCAGGTATACACAAATACAGTTACGTGGATTATCATACATAGCAGCATATGTGTAGAAAACCCAGGATAACCCAATAAAGCCAGACAGAGTGACATATTTCCATTGGAATCCTTTTAATTCCTGATTATTATACAATGTAGGAGATATCTTATTATTATACTATAAAGGATATATACTACTAGGAATAAGGTAAAAGGAGTTATTTACATTTACTTGTGTGTTTGCTAAAGAAAAATCAAATATTCTCTTCCCTTTCTGTTGCTACACTGATTAGGTACCTTTTGACTCTCTTCTTGAACTGGTTCATGCTGTGACTAGCTTTGACATGAGTAGACAATCTGTTCCATTCCTTTATTGCTGTTTGAAGCCTGGCCACTAACTGTGGGTACTACAAAGTTGTGCTCTCTCCCCTTAGTACTATGATTGCTTTGGTTCCAAGCCTTGACAAAATTAGCAGCAAGATATTCTGGACACTGTGAGCAATTTTATAAACTTGATTGAACTTCAGTTGTTTTACTCTGTCTTCAATATTCAGCATCTCAATTTTTATTCATTCTGGAGTATTTATCATATTTCTATGTTATTTATATAATGTCTCATGTCACTTTAGATAAACTATTATAGGAATAAGCCTTAATGTTGATATTAGCTTAATTATGAAACATATTTTCATGGTTCCCGAGTCCTGGGCTCTGACTTGCTGTGAAAGCATTTTTCAGATGGTTCCTGATTGGTCCTCCGATTCTATAATAGTTCCGCCAATACTGTAATGATGCCAAATCGTGAATTATTATATTAGAAATAATAATAAAAATAATAACTAAAAAAATGGAAAAAAATCTGAAAATTCACGGCATGTAAACACACAATGAAGTTATAAACTTGACAAGTGCAATATCTGCCAAAAACACAAAACAATCACCTGATCACAAAAATTTGACATACAATCACTTAAGACATATGAAAACATAATCATATACACACAAAAAGTTAAACATAAACACTTATGACATATGAAGACAAATTTTTACACAAATTGCACGAGCATTATACCGAGAAAAATTATGTACACTTATACCATGACATCCATATTCTAAAAACACTACTCGATCACCTTCATGAACACTAAATCTGTTCATGAACACATAAGACATAAGGTATCTAAAAAAAATAACAAAACTTACCAACCAAAATTTAAATTATAATCACCCAAACATAAAACTGATTTACACTTTTGATTTTCCAAACTGCATATTCATACTACATTTTTCATGAAAATAAAGGTATTGTGTGAATATTTTAAAAAGAGTAAATAGAAATGAAAAGTTGTTGAATAAAAAGTTGGTAATGTGAAAAATTATGAATGAAATTGTGTGTATTATAATTGAAATTGTGGCTTGAGAAAAATTTGTTTGTATTACCGAAAACTGAGAAAAAAAACTGTGACCTGTTGATTTGATGAACTGGAAAGAGTGGAGGGTGAACCTCCAATACCTGGGAGCTGGAGGTTGTACAAAACGTGGCTCAATACTTAGGGTACTGATATATATGAGGTCGTCTGTAACGTCACACCGACCTGTGTTTGCCTGTTTAGACGTGATGATGGCCAGTGACGTCACGACTTGTCCCATAGGGGGCCTAACATTATTGACAGGGAAATAATCACCCTGGCAGAAGGTGAACAGGAGCTGCGCAGCCATTCAGTCTAACAACCAGAACTTGCTCAGCTTTTTCCCTTTATGTGTAAATCAATAAAAATACTAACAAACTTTGATTTTGATTTTTCTTTATTTATATTTAAGTATATATTACTATCCTCTCCTGAGAAGACTGGCAGGCAACTGAAGCTATGGACGGTCGGCAAGGGGATAATGTACCCGGATACTTTTCTCACGGGCATTAGCTCTCGGTCGATGACCCAGGTAGTGTTTTGGAGTCAGAACTGATTATATAACCCTCTCCTCTGCTTAGTAATACACAAATAACCTCCAACTATCCTTTTTTTTTGATGGGATGATTAAGTCACCAACCTTTTGCAAGCAGACATCTGAAGCTATGGACTTTTTTTGTTTTATGCTCACGTTATAGCAGACTCTTGCTCGTCGCTTAACCTTGGTGAGTGGGAGGGCCACCCGTGGGCGGGCAGACGGATAATGTACCCAGAAGAACCCTCTCACTGATACCCAGGTGGATGGGAGGTCAATGCACGCGCTGGAGTCCCCCAGACCATTATGTAAGTCCATTATTGCCTTACTTTCTCACAGCAATTATACCTCTCGGTCATTGACCCGGCTAGTATAGTGACACACAAAGAGGGGTGATTAAAGTTGGTAATCTTTATAGCTAGACATCTTGAAACTATGGAGGGCTCCTCGCCAGTGTCCAGGGGCACTTTCTCACGGCTACCTCTGCTTAGTAATACACACAAATAACCCACAACTATCCCATTTGAGGAGCAATTAACTCACCTGGGCGCCGGACATCTTTGTAGCCAGACACCTTGAAGCTATGGACGAAAATTATGACAATTATCAGTCATTGGCTCAAATAAGCTCCACTAACCCATTGAGGATGATTAACCTACCCCAATCTTCGTAGGCGGACACCTTGAAGCTATGGACAAGCTACCCATGACGGCTGAAGGCTACTCTTCCGGCTTGTCCCGGTAATTATAGTAATCAGGCAATTATAGCAATTATCGCACTGTCGCCATTTTCACATACTTTCCCACACGCATTATCGGCCATTTATCACGGCAGTGTTCGGAGTCATAACTGATCATATCACTTTCTGCTTAGTAATACACAGAAATAACCCTCACTATCCCCTTGGGAGATAATTAAACATAGTACTGAACTTTTTACCCTGACAGCTGAAGCTATGCCATGTCCCCCATTATCACATACTTCCCCACGCTCATTATCGGCCATTGATCCCGGCAGTGTTCGCAGTCAGACGTCTTTATACTACTTATAGTATAGTTCAAAGCTTTATTTTGGGTAAAAAAAATGCAGTAACGGTTTCATGAGTAGATTATCAGTAGTAAATTCTATTGTATCGTAAACCTACTGAACAAATGGACATGGAAAACCAACCAGCAATTAAGAGATGAAATTAGAATAGGCACAACTCAAATACGCAAATTTTGAATATGGTGACGATGGTTGTTGCTGCTGATGACGATACTGTCAAAGGTTTATCAAATACATTCATCAACACTGTTTAATATTTGTGTTGTATGATACTTACATATGGCGTATCTGTTGACGGTAACGTAGTAGTCAGTGAGTAAGTGAATGAAAATAGCGGATGATGAGGTTTTAAGTTGGAAACTGATATAGCAGACATTGGCTGGGTCTATTCTTTTGATGATTATGCGGTCGCTCCAGAAGTACCAAGCTGAGGAGAAACATAGTGATTAGACAGATTTTTTTTACATTAATCAGTTTACAGATTTACGGATTGAGCTAATTTCTGTTTCATCCTTATCTACACCCTCAGCAATTTTCTGTAAATATAATAATAGTAATGATGCTACTACTAATGTTAATAATAATAATAATAATAATAATAATAATAATAATAATAATAATAATAATAATAATAATAATAAATAAATAAATAAATAATAATATTCGTAACGTAAGAGGTGATTAAAATGCTGGGAACAAAAGGAAGAAAAGATTCTGTCAATACTGGAACAAAACCTTTGAAGTTTCTGTTGCAGATGGGAAACTTTGCAATATTCTCATTACCTTGCTGAAGTCTCCCAGCTGAGGCTCATATATTTCAACATCTTGTATGAACCCCAGTTGAGTGATGGAATACGACAGAAAAAAAATATTAGCTTTTTTCTACTGTGTAACTTTTTTTATTATCACACTGGCCGATTCCCACCAAGGCAGGGTGGCCCGATAAAGAAAAACTTTCACCATCATTCACTCCATCACTGTCTTGCCAGAAGGGTGCTTTACACCACAGTTTTTAAACTGCAACATTAACACCCTTCCTTCAGAGTGCAGGCACTGTACTTCCCATCTCCAGGACTCAAGTCTGGCCTGCTCACACTCCAACAGCACGTCAAGTATTAAAAACCATTCGCCTCCATTCACTCCTATCAAACACGCTCACGCACGCCTGCTGGAAGTCCAAGCCCCTCGCACACAAAACCTCCTTTACCCCTCCCTCCAACCTTTCCTAGGCCGACCCCTACCCCGCCTTCCTTCCACTACAGACTGATACACTCTTGAAGTCATTCTGTTTCGCTCCATTCTCTCTACATGTCCGAACCACCTCAACAACCCTTCCTCAGCCCTCTGGACAACAGTTTTGGTAATCCCGCACCTCCTCCTAACTTCCAAACTACGAATTCTCTGCATTATATTCACACCATACATTGCCCTCAGACATGACATCTCCACTGCCTCCAGCCTTCTCCTCGCTGCAACATTCATCACCCATGCTTCACACCCATGTAAGAGTGTTGGTAAAACTATACTCTCATACATTCCCCTCTTTGCCTCCAAGGACAAAGTTCTTTGTCTCCACAGACTCCTAAGTGCACCACTCACCCTTTTCCCCTCATCAATTCTATGATTCACCTCATCCTTCATAGACCCATCCGCTGACACGTCCACTCCCAAATATCTGAATACATTCACCTCCTCCATACTCTCTCCCTCCAATCTGATATTCAATCTTTCATCACCTAATATTTTTGTTATCCTCATAACCTTACTCTTTCCTGTATTCACTTTTAATTTTCTTCTTTTGCACACCCTACCAAATTCATCCACCAATCTCTGCAACTTCTCTTCAGAATCTCCCAAGAGCACAGTGTCATCAGCAAAGAGCAACTGTGACAACTCCACTTTATGTGTGATTCCTTATCTTTTAACTGTGTAACTATAATTTAAAATAGAGTAGCAGCACACTGCTGATGTATCAAACTTTGTTAATAGAAAATAGTGTCTCTTCAAAGCTCATAAACTTTAGTTCCAGATTTAGTCTTGTTGCAAACTTTTGCAACAAGAAATATTCATGAAGAAGACCATGGTATATACCATACAAATTGTAGTGAAATACTGGAAGTTCCTGAATGAAATCTTGGATTTTCAAGATGGACAATTTCTGCGCAGTTGATGTACCTCAGGTGATAAGCTCGAGGGTCTTCCTGAATGAGGTTTCCAACTTTTATACCTTTAGCCTTTGTTTCTAGTTTCCTTAGCCCTTCTCCGTGTTTCATAATTTGTCATTTGCAGTAATTTGTCATTCCCAGTAATGGCCTTTTTGGAACTCCACTCATCACATTTGCCCATTCTAACTCCTTTTCTAGCTGTCTGTCAAAATTTGCAAGGTAATTCCATCTGCATGGTTAAGACATCTTTATTGCTAGACATCTAGCCATTGCAATTCTTCTCGTGATGTTAGCTTCTTTAAGCCTTGTGACCCTTCCTTGAAACCAATGGCAAAGGAGACCATAGTATTTGAGTCGGTCTTCCGATGCACTACCGCGAATACACTCATTTATGGTGACGACAGGAGCGGAGAGGGAAAGTGTAACACTTATAAAAATGGTCGCGGATCTAGGCGTGTGCCTATAGAGGAACTAGTGATGACCAACAATGGAAATAAGTCAGTTTGTCTGACTTTTTTGGGTTATTCTAGGTTCTCTACACATATGCTGCTATGTATGATAATCTATGTAACTGTATTTGTGTATACCTGAATAAACTTACTAACAAAATATCCTTCGCGTGAGGAGCTCTCATTGTCAAGAAATGAGCTCTGTCCTGCCTAGACAAACTGTGAAGCACTGTTGAGTCTATATTCTCCGTTATTGGGCTCTCCTAGTGCGGCTGTTTGTATTGTTTTGTTAGGGAGGACTGGTCTCGTTGAGGACTTGACTCCATTAGTAAACATTAGGTCCTGAATCCCAACATTGAATCTGAGGGACTCGGGAAAAATCGCTTCTGCAAGTTCACAAGAGGCCACATACGAAAACAGGAATGCAGGAAGAGTCAGACTGACAGTGTAGCTTGATCCCACTGCCAATCTTCTAATGTCGACCTCAGAAGACTGTCATACTCCTTTAGTTTTGGGTTGTCATATTAGGGCGCACATCTTATGAAAAGTGTTAGCGTGGGCAGGCTCAAGCACTTTGTGAGAAATACAAGGCATTATTGGCATCTAGATTGCTTATTCTTTGTTCCATCCTCCTCAGATCGTCTAGTCATTCCTCGAAAATTGCGACATTGCATGTATATTAGTGAGGGTTACGCACAAGAAGACAAATACAGGTGGATAATTAGATAAGTAAGATACATGTGCAACTCACTGATAATTTTATTGAATTTTTCGCTAACCAGAAACTTTATGAATCCAGAAGAGAGAATAATAGTGCAGACTGTCGAGACGTGAAGAAACAGGTGGTCAATTCCTCACCCTAAATGAACTAGTTGGAGACGGTGGAAGACGTGAAGAATTAGTTTGAAGGGATCAGTCCCTCGTTCTAGAAAGGTGTTTCTTCCAACACTTGATGAATTAAGACTCTAAAAATCAAAATAATCAAGTATCGTACTAAATATCTTATTCGTCTTCATGTCGACATTGATACAGGAGAATAAATGTGTTTGTTTTGCTGTCTGAGATCCTCCTCGGCAGATACTAGAAAATTTGAGAAATAGTATGTTATGATCAGGTCAGGTGAATATTGAACAATGGCGTTAATAGTTGTGTAGATCAAAGGTTACCATGAGTTTATACAACATTTCGGAGTGTGGAAGGTTATCAGGAGTTAAATTACCATTCTCTGGGTCGAGTTATTACTCAGTAAAAAAACTAAGTCAGTTAAAAAAAAATCTGAATTGTCATGATAAATTTTATATTGCATAATTCTCCATATATCTCATACTGTAATATATACATTGTATTTTATTTTTATGCCTAACTAGTATTTAAAAATCGATTATATATGTTGCAGTTTGGATATATTTTTTCCACGATAATTACATTTTTTATTTACTCTTAAAGTTTGTGCTGTAATTATTACAAATTATTAGTTTTCCTTTTCATTTATTTTGTTCTTATGTCCAGCAGTTAAATTGTTAATTTGAAATATCATTTATACCTTTACCAGGATTTTGCCAGTAAATATTTTTTTGAGAATTTTTATACAGAATTTGATTACATGCATTCAGATCTTAACTCATGATCATGAATAGCTAATTAAGCAAAATTTTTAGTAATTGCACCTAAACTATTGTAAAGTTATTTGTTACCTCACAACTAATTATTTTATTATATCTAGTATGATTTTGCAATTTACTTATTCAATTTATGCTTTCTTTTTTAACTGTGATCTTCAGTTACAAATCACAAGGTACCAATGACTTAGAAATCACAACTCCAACTGATTTTAAATTGTTACTTAACGTAAATAAAGTGACTCATGGAGAATATCAGAGTGACAGACTATAGTGAAATCCTTCTAGCTTAATATTTCTTCAAGAATCTGGGGAATGGTGCCATGAAACTAGTGGAGGGCTCTTGATACAAGGAATCGGACATATGCTTCCATTTGGTTCAAAATTTATTGTCCCACCCGTTCTATTTCCCATACTGGTTTAGTGTATTCACGTGAACATAACAATATCTTTGACCTCAGTTGATGAAAAGAAATGTGAGAACTATAACGATAAGTGGATACATCACAGAATTTAGGGAAGACGGAGAAGAACAGACAGCTGTCCTATTCAGAATTTTGAAGCAGATAATCTAATATACGTTAATAGTAAGTAAGAAATAGTGACATGTTACGGTGATGCATTATTTTTCCTGCTCAACATCCTTACAATCTTCGCTGTCTATGGAAACCTGATATATTTAGCTAATATCGCATTAATTAAGAAGAGAATAAATGTTTGTAGATTTTAAAATTAATCCCTAATAGCATTAGTGAAGACTATCATTTCGTTTTATAGGCGTTACAGTAGTTAAGTCATTCATTTAAAACTTGGCCGTATTTCAGCAAGAACCTCTTATATAGTCAAGTTCAGCAGAAAGTAGTGAAACCCTCAGTAACTTATCAAGGAATGCCATCTCGGAGTATAAGTGTTTCTTCACCAATGGTCATCCACCGGCGCTTGTTGTGCTGGCCAAAGAGAGTATATATTTGCAGATAGTGTCTATGTTAACTTTCAATTTCTCTAGATGCAACGATTCAAAATGACTCTCTTGAGTTACTAATTCATTAGTTTTCTTATTTTTTTTCCTTTCCCCACAGGATATTTTTTGAGGTGAATAGACGCGAGGACATTCACTCTGGACACTATTGTTGAAGACATTTCGGTTCTTGCACGTATATCACTTCAAATATATATCTGATGTGATCAGTCTCCAATGACGGAAACTTTCAATGATGGTGTCCTAAGTAACCACACTCTTACTATACCTTCTTACTATAAGACACTATACCATCTTACTGCAAGATATTTTCCCTTTCTCTCTAAAAATTCATTAATATCAGACATGAAGTAGTGTTTTCTAGGAAGAGTTTCTGTTCGCGGTATAAAGAATTATTTGGATTTAGTAAGCACATTTACTTTAAAAATCATTAGTGATTTCAGTATGAGTAGTTTTACTCTAATATTATTATTTACAAGTGTCTTTGTTTACAACTTATTACGTTTGCTTGTGTCAACACGCAAATAAATGATTAAACTCTATCTTTAAGAAATAAACGGAGCGATCATTGGTGAATCAATTCTACGTCCCATAATATGATGTAGTAACAGGTAATACCTGCATCTTAAACCTTAGCAGTTTGCACATGTATTTTTTAAGAACAAACTGTTGTAGTAGAATTCATTTCCCGTAACAGAAAGTATTAGATATATGTTATTGATGGCTTTGATAGAAGAAAGGCAATTTGAATAAGTTTTTTAAATCACGGTACATAGTCTACCTCCAACGATAAAATTTGCTGCCGAGTTAGAACAAAAACTTAAGTTCTTTTTCTGTATGTTTTGATTATTTTAAAGAACCAAGAATTCCAATTCAAAATATATAGAGAACAAGCAACTGCATGTTTCTGTGTACACTATGATCAATAACATCATGTTCAGGTTCTTAATACCAATGTATGGTCATATTCAAGTATATTGATCATGAAATTATCATGATAATCGAAACAGAGGTTTACCTAAGGTATCCAAAATCTTTTAAAAATAAATCCTGGAAAATTCCAAGGATAAAATTTTACAATCAAAATACACGCAACAATTATCAAGCAAAAATGTCCATGAATTACAATATCAAGCAAACTTAAATGAAATTGTAATAAAGTTGGTAGAATTACCGACAATATGTAAAGTAAAAGGACACAAGTGCAACTAATGTGACATTTTATTGTGGCAACGTTTCGCTCTTCAGGAGCTTTATCAAGCCATTACAAACAATACATGGACACAGAGGGTATATATAGGCTCAGAGTGAGGTGCAATACTAGTGGTAGTAGTAGTAGTAGTAGTGACAAAAGTTGTAGTAGTAGTAGTAATACAATATGGTAGAGCAATTAATTCGTACATGAGTAAAAGGATAAAAGCTATTACTTGGGTAACATAAAAATAGGTTGGACAAATGTAGACTGGATAGAGGCAGCCTGTTTCAGTGTTCACTCTATGTAATGTGCTTTGTGTAGTATAACAGGAGAGACTATGTGATGGCAGGGTTTACTGTTTACAGGAGGATTCTTGCTAAGACTTCAGAGATGGTGAAGCTGCCGTTGTTTTGTTTAATTGTATTCGAAACAGCGATCAGTGCTGATTCGAGGCACTTGCGTCTGCGGAAATTAGTTTCTTTGATCACTAATTGGGCGTCTCTGAATTTCATGAGATGATTGGTGGAATTTCGGTGTTGTACACAAGCGTTGTTCAAGTTATTGTTCCTACATGCGTAAATGTGTTCATTGAGGCGGGTGTCGAGGTTTCTTGCTGTTTCACCTACGTAAATCTTGTCACAGCCTCCACAGGGTATAGTGTAAACTCCTGCGTTGACTGGTTCGTGGTGCTTTGATTTTGTCCTGGTTAGATCCTTTATTGAAGTGCTAGAAGCGATGGCAACTCAGGTGTTAACTTGTGAAAGTACTTCAGAAACGTTCAGCGCAACCTGGCTGTTGGGAAGAATTATAACTTTGTTGGGAGTGGTGTTGGTGCGTGGAGAATTAATGATCTGAAGAGCTCTTTTCTTGCAGTCTTTGATGAAAAAGGAAGGAAAATGTAACTCAGTGAATGTTTGGTGAATGTATGTACATTCCTCGTCAAGAAACTCAGGACTACAAATTCGGTATGCTTCAAACGCACTAGAGAAGGGAAGAAACTTCTATACTTGTTACCAAGCAACCCTAAACCAGCACACATGTATGGTTTACCCAAGACCCATAAACACAATATTCCTCTCAGACCAATCACGTCAGGAATAGGCAGTGCTCCACACAAACTAGCCGGAGTTCTTGCCAAACATCTTTCCTGCCTTCTGAGGACCATCAGCCCCTCTCATCTTAAACACTCAGACGAACTTCTCAACCGCATCCGAAACCTCTCCATCCGTAACAAGAAACTAAGCAGTTTGGACGTGACTTCCCTCTTCACAAAAATACCTACCACTATAGCCATCGAGGTTCTACGACGCAAAGTCAATCTTCCTCTACCTCCCGGAGATTTTGTTAACTTGATTGAACTCTGTGTTAATTTCAACTGTTTTTCTTTCAATAGCAAGCTCTACAAACAAACCTACGGTATGGGAATGGGGTCCCCCATCAGTGCCGTCCTAGCCAATTTATACATGGAACATCTAGAGTCCAAACACTTCGCCAACATCATCCCTTCAAGCGTCACTTGGTTACGTTACGTGGACGACGTCCTCGTAATAACTCCCAAACGTTTTGATGTACGGAATCTTCAGGCAAGGCTCAACGCAGTTGAACCGGCGATCCAGTTTACACTAGAAGAAGAGTCCAATAACAAGCTACCTTTCCTCGACGTCCTCATTCACAAAGTAGACAACAACCTAAGATTTCAAGTTTATCGGAAACCCACCAACAAAAATGATCTCACACACTTCTATTCCAGTCAAGATACCAAGACCAAAAGAGGCATCATCATCGGGTTTTTCCTAAGAGCATACCGAATTTGTAGTCCTGAGTTTCTTGACGAGGAATGTACATACATTCACCAAACATTCACTGAGTTACATTTTCCTTCCTTTTTCATCAAAGACTGCAAGAAAAGAGCTCTTCAGATCATTAATTCTCCACGCACCAACACCACTCCCAACAAAGTTATAATTCTTTCCAACAGCCAGGTTGCGCTGAACGTTTCTAAAGTACTTTCACAAGTTAACACCAGAGTCGCCATCGCTTCTAGCACTTCAATAAAGAATCTAACCAGGACAAAATCAAAGCACCACGAACCAGTCAACGCAGGAGTTTACACTATACCCTGTGGAGGCTGTGACAAGATTTACGTAGGTGAAACAGCAAGAAACCTCGACACCCGCCTCAATGAACACATTTACGCATGTAGGAACGATAACTTGAACAACGCTTGTGTACAACACCGAAATTCCACCAATCATCTCATGAAATTCAGAGACGCCCAATTAGTGATCAAAGAAACTAATTTCCGCAGACGCAAGTGCCTCGAATCAGCACTGATCGCTGTTTCGAATACAATTAAACAAAACAACGGCAGCTTCACCATCTCCGAAGTCTTAGCAAGAATCCTCCTGTAAACAGTAAACCCTGCCATCACATAGTCTCTCCTGTTATACTCCACAAAGCACATTACATAGAGTGAACATTGAAACAGGCTGCCTCTATCCAGTCTACATTTGTCCAACCTATTTTTATGTTACCCAAGTAATAGCTTTTATCCTTTTACTCATGTACGAATTAATTGCTCTACCATATAATATTACTACTAGTACTACAACTTGTGTCACTACTGCTACTACTACTACCACTAATATTGCACCTCACTCTGAGCTTATATATACCCTCTGTGTCCATGTATTGTTTGTGATGGCTTGATAAAGCTCCTGGAGAGCGAAACGTTGCCACAATAAAATGTCACATTAGTTACACTTGTGTCCTTTTACTTTAAATGAAATTCTTAATTAAAAAAAATGACATCCTTGTTATATTTAAATATTTAGATATAACAAGTATTGTAAAGAATACACCAGAAAAGTACCAATGTTCTTTTGTTATTCTGTCAACATGAGTAAGTTTGTTCGTGTAAAATCCAAGCGACTGGAATGATCTTAAAGTCATTAAACTAAAAGAGTGGTTATATATTTGTTGAGACTTACGTAGTATATCAGTGCAGTTGTTAGGTTGAACAGGTCGTTGTGTGCTGTAGTAGTTTGTGAGAGGAGCGCATTTACACACTCCCAGCACACAGCTGCTCACACCGTTGATGAGATATGTACACTGTGAGGTGTTCCTGCATGTCTGCCCAGCCAAGCGAACTGCAACACCATCACAACTCTTAAATTCTCAGGAATTAATAAAAATAAAAACTCTTCATTGGTCCCGTTGAAGCTCAGCCTCAGACTCTATCTGCATTTTCTTATGAAAATAATGCAGCAAGCAAAACAATCATGAGAAACAGTCATGACTTAGGAAAGAAACTGTTTTCTAGTAATTCGAAATATGTAACATATGGATTAACAACGAAATAGTTCCACGGCAAATTACAAATAGTTATTGAAAAAGAAAAAAAAACGACAGAAAAAAAGAGTTAAACTTACGGCATTTCTCAGAACAGATTCCATAGTTAATGCAGGCAGGGTCGTCATATAGAGGTGTTTCCACTTCCTAGTAGTGGTGGGTGAAAATAATGTATTACTGTAGTGGCAAGTATAAATAATGACATTATGGAAGTGGAGGAAGCAAGTAAAAAACCGAATTATAGAAGCAATAGGAGAAAACCCTCGATATATATTATTACAAGGATGGAAAGTGCCAGTGTTAAGGTAGTGGTGATATCTGAGAACATGGTAGTGGTGATGTCTGAAGAACATGGTAGTGGTGATGTCTGAAGAACATGGTAGTGGTGATGTCTGAAGAACATGGTAGTGGTGATATCTGAGAACATGGTAGTGGTGATGTCTGAAGAACATGGTAGTGGTGATATATGAGAACATGGTAGTGGTGATGTCTGAAGAACATGGTAGTGGTGATATCTGAGAACATGGTAGTGGTGATGTCTGAAGAACATGGTAGTGGTGATGCCTGAAGAACATGGTAGTGGTGATATCTGAGAACATGGTAGTGGTTATGTCTGAAGAACATGGTAGTGGTGATGTCTGAAGAACATGGTAGTGGTGATATCTGAGAATATGGTAGTGGTGATGTCTGAAGAACATGGTAGTGGTGATATCTGAGAACATGGTAGTGGTGATGTCTGAAGAACATGGTAGTGGTGATATCTGAGAACATGGTAGTGGTGATGTCTGAAGAACATGGTAGTGGTGATGTCTGAAGAACATGGTAGTGGTGATGTCTGAAGAACATGGTAGTGGTGATATCTGAGAACATGGTAGTGGTGATGTCTGAAGAACATGGTAGTGGTGATGTCTGAAGAACATGGTAGTGGTGATATCTGAGAATATGGTAGTGGTGATGTCTGAAGAACATGGTAGTGGTTATGTCTGAAGAACATGGTAGTGGTGATGTCTGAAGAACATGGTAGTGGTGATATCTGAGAATATGGTAGTGGTGATGTCTGAAGAACATGGTAATGGTTATGTCTGAAGAACATGGTAGTGGTGATGTCTGAAGAACATGGTAGTGGTGATATCTGAGAATATGGTAGTGGTGATGTCTGAAGAACATGGTAGTGGTGATGTCTGAAGAACATGGTAGTGGTGATGTCTGAAGAACATGGTAGTGGTGATGTCTGAAGAACATGGTAGTGGTGATGTCTGAAGAACATGGTAGTGGTGATGTCTGAAGAACATGGTAGTGGTTATGTCTGAAGAACATGGTAGTGGTGATGTCTGAAGAACATGGTAGTGGTGATGTCTGAAGAACATGGTAGTGGTGATGTTTTGAAGAACATGGTAGTGGTGATGTCTGAAGAACATGGTAGTGGTGATGTCTGAAGAACATGGTAGTGGTTATGTCTGAAGAACATGGTAGTGGTGATGTCTGAAGAACATGGTAGTGGTGATGTCTGAAGAACATGGTAGTGGTGATGTCTGAAGAACATGGTAGTGGTGATGTCTGAAGAACATGGTAGTGGTGAGACCTGAAGAACATGATAGTGGTAATACATCAAGAACATGGTAGTGCAATAGCGATGATACATGAATAACATGGTAGTGGTGATACATGAAGAAAATGGTAGTGGTGATACATGAAGAAAATGGTAGTGGTGATACATGAAGAGCATGGTAGTGGTGATACATGAAGAACATGGTAGTGGTGATACATGAAGAAAATGGTAGTGGTGATACATGAAGAAAATGGTAGTGGTGATACATGAAGAGCATGGTAGTGGTGATACATGAAGAACATGGTAGTGGTGATACATGAAGAACATGGTAGTGGTGATACATGAAGAACATGGTAGTGGTGATACATGAAGAACATGGTAGTGGTGATACATGAAGAGCATGGTAGTGGTGATACATGACGAGCATGGTAGCGGTGATACATGAAGAACATGGTAGTGGTGATACATGAAGAGCGTGGTAGCGGTAATACATGAAGAACATGGTAGGGGTAATACATAAAGAACATGGTGGTGGTGACACATGAAGAAAATGGTAGTGGTGATACATGGAGAGCATGGTAGCGGTGATACATGAAGAACATGGTAGTGGTGATACATGAAGAACATGGTAGTGGTGATACATGAAGAAAATGGTAGTGGTGATACATGATGAACATAGTGGTGATACATGAAGAACATGGTAGTGGTGATACATGAAAAACATGGTAGAGGTGATACATGATGAACATAGTAGCGGTAATACATGAAGAACATGGCAGTGGTGATACATGAAGAACATGGTAGTGGTGATACATGAAGAACACTGTAGTGGTGATACATGAAGAACATGGTAGTGGTGATACATGAAAAACATGGTAGTTGTGATACATGAAGAACATGGTAGTGGTGATACATGAAGAACATGGTAGTGATGATACATGAAGAACATGGTAGTGGTGATACATGAAGAACATGGTAATGATGATACATGAAGAACATGGTAGTGGTGATACATGAAGAACATGGTAGTGATGATACATGAAGAACATGGTAATGGTGATACATGAAGAACATGGTAGTGGTGATACATGAAGAACATGGTAGTGGTGATACATGGAGAACATGGTAGTGATGATACGTGAAGAACATGGCAGTGGTGATACATGAAGAACATGGTAGTGGTGATACATGAAGAAAATGGTAGTGGTGATACATGATGAACATAGTAGCGGTAATACATGATACATGAATAAAATGGTAGTGGTGATACATGATGAACATAGTAGCGGTAATACATGAAGAACATGGCAGTGGTGATACATGAAGAACATGGTAGTGGTGATACATGAAGAACACTGTAGTGGTGATACATGAAGAACATGGCAGTGGTGATACATGAAGAACATGGTAGTGGTGATACATGAAGAACACTGCAGTGGTGATACATGAAGAACATGGTAGTGGTGATACATGAAAAACATGGTAGTGGTGATACATGGAGAACATGGTAGTGGTGATACATGAAGAACATGGTAGTGGTGATACATGATGAACATGGTAGTGATGATACACGAAGAACATGGTAGTGGCGATACATGAAGAACATGGTAGTGGTGATACATCAAGAACATGGTAATGATGATACATGAAGAACATGGTAGTGGTGATACATGAAGAACATGGTAGTGATGATACATGAAGAACATGGTAATGGTGATACATGAAGAACATGGTAGTGGTGATACATGAAGAACATGGTAGTGGTGATACATGGAGAACATGGTAGTGATGATACGTGAAGAACATGGCAGTGGTGATACATGAAGAACATGGTAGTGGTGATACATGAAGAAAATGGTAGTGGTGATACATGATGAACATAGTAGCGGTAATACATGATACATGAATAAAATGGTAGTGGTGATACATGATGAACATAGTAGCGGTAATACATGAAGAACATGGCAGTGGTGATACATGAAGAACATGGTAGTGGTGATACATGAAGAACACTGTAGTGGTGATACATGAAGAACATGGCAGTGGTGATACATGAAGAACATGGTAGTGGTGATACATGAAGAACACTGCAGTGGTGATACATGAAGAACATGGTAGTGGTGATACATGAAAAACATGGTAGTGGTGATACATGGAGAACATGGTAGTGGTGATACATGAAGAACATGGTAGTGGTGATACATGATGAACATGGTAGTGATGATACACGAAGAACATGGTAGTGGCGATACATGAAGAACATGGTAGTGATGATACATGAAGAACATGTTAGTGGGGATACATGAAGAACATGGTAGTGGCGATACATGAAGAACATGGTAGTGGTTATACATGAAGAACTTGGTAGTGTTGATACGTGAAGAAGATGGTAGTGGTGATACATGATGAGCATGGTAGTGATGATACATGAAGAACATGTTAGTTGTTATACATGAAGAACATGGTAGTGATGATACATGAAGAACATGGTAGTGGTGATACGTGAAGAACATGGTAGTGATGATACATGAAGAACATGGTAGTGGTGATACATGAAGAACATGGTAGTGGCGATACATGAAGAACATGGTAGTGGTGATACATGGAGAACATGGTAGTGGTGATTCATAAAGAACATTGTATTGGTGATACATGAAGAACATGGTTGTGGTGATACATGAAGAACATGGTAGTGGTTATACATGAAGAACATGGTAGTGCTGATACATGAAGAACTTGGTAGTGATGATACATGAAGAACATGGTAGTGATGATACATGAAGAACATGTTAGTGATGATGCATGAAGAACATGGTAGTGGTGATACATGAAGAACATGGTAGTGGTGATACATGAAGAACATGGTAGTGGTGATACATGAAGAACATGGTAGTGGTGATACATGAAGAATATGGTAGTGGTGATACATGAAGAACATGGTAGTGATGATACATGAAGAACATGGTAGTGTTGATACATGAAGAACATGGTACTGATGATACATGAAGAACATTGTAGTGGTGATACATGAAGAACATGGTAGTGATGATACATGAAGAACATGGTAGTGATGATACATGAAGAACATGGTAGTGGTGATACATGAAGAACATGGTAGTGGTGATACATGAAGAACATGGTAGTGATGATACATGAAGAACATGGTAGTGGTGATACATGAAGAACATGGTAGTGGTGATACATGAAGAACATGGTAGTGGTGATACATGAAGAACATGGTAGTGGTGATACATGAAGAACATGGTAGTGGTGATACATGAAGAACATGGTAGTGGTGATACATGAAGAACATGGTAGTGGTGATACATGAAGAACATGGTAGTGGTGATACATGAAGAACATGGTAGTGGTGGTACATGAAGAACATGGTAGTGGTGATACATGAAGAACATGGTAGTGGTGATACATGAAGAACATGGTAGTGGTGATACATGAAGAACATGGTAGTGGTGATACATGAAGAACATGGTAGTGGTGATACATGAAGAACATGTTAGTGATGATACATGAAGAACATGGTAGTGGTGATACATGGAGAACATGGTAGTGGTGATACATGAAGAACATGGTAGTGGTG